GAACATGCTCTGACCCCTCTAAAACAGTGGCTTTTCAGTGGCTAACAGAGCCCCAAACTGTCATTCAACCTCAGGCATCAATCCCCCAACATGCAGAAGAGTACAAAAACCAGAAAAAGAAACAGAACGGAACCTTTCTTTAGGATAAGAATCTTGTTAGGGTCCACATGCTGGAGCACACCCTCGAAGACGCCACACACCAAGGTGAGCTTCACCCTTCTCCACAAAATCTGATTGAGGAAATGGTAGTCACTGCTGGGATCCATTCTATTCAACTTCTGAAGTACTCTTTAAATACTCTCTAAGCATCAAAGCACTTGGAAATTAATAAAGAGATCTATGATCTTGAAAAAAAATCTTGAGGGGCGTAGGGTTATTTTCCTCTTCCTTGTTCATATCTGTAAGACAAGAATATAAAGAATATGAATAGTTCAGCAGCTCATCATTTTACAGCAATGACAAAAGGATCATTAGAGCATGAATTCTGGGCCTGGTGTGCTAGCCTAGTAGCTAAAGTCCTCACCTTGCATGCACTGGAATTTCATAGGGGCATCAGTTCATGTCCTGGCCATCCTGCTTCCCATCCAGTTCCCTGATTGTGGCTTGGGAAAGCAGTAGAGGATGGCCCAAGGCCTTGGGACCCTGTACTCATGTGGGAGACCTAGAGGAGGCTCCCAGCTCCAGGCTTCAGTTTGGCTCAGCTCCAGCCATTGTGGCTTATTGGGGAGTGAACCAGCAGATAGAAGATCTTTGTCTCTCTTTTCTGTAAATCTGCCTTTCCAATTAAAATAAAATAAATGTTAGAAAAAAGAAAAAGAAAAAGCATGAATTCTGGACAAGCGTTGTGTTACATCAAGTTAAGCCACTACCTGGCATGCCTGCATGCCACATTAGGGTTTAAGTCCTGCCTCCTCTAGTCCCAATCCTGCTGCATGCTAATGCTCCTGGCAAGGCAACCGATAATGAGTGGCCCAGGTACCTGTGTCTCTGCTATCCACCTGGCAGATTCAGAGGAGTCCCTGCATTCCTGCCTTCAGCTTGGTCCAGCACAGGCTGTTGTGGGCATTTGAGAGTGAATCAGCAGATGAAAGATCTCTCCCCGTCACTCCACCTGTCAAGTAAATAGATAACAATACAAACAAGCATCAATTCTAATTTATACAGAAAAGTCTGGGCAAGATAGACTTGCTACTTTGTAAAATGAAGATAATATCACCTTTTCCTTAGCTAGGTGGGACTAGCAAAATGCAAGTTTTTAAATTGATGAAATTTACAGTATCTTTTTTTTATTATTATTGGAAAATCAGATTTCCAGAGAGAGGAGACAGAAAGATCTTTCATTCACTGATTGACTCTTCAAGTGGCTGCAATGGCCAGAACTGAGCCAATCTGAAGCCAGGAGTCAGGAGCTTCATCTGGGTCTCCTATGTGGGTGCAGGGTACCAAGGCTTTGGGCTGTCCTTGACTGCTTTCCCAGGCCACAGGCAGGGAGCTAGGTGAGTAGTGGAGTAGCCAGGAAACCAACCGGTATGGGATGGGATGCCAGTGCCACAGGGCTTGAGCACCATCAAGTGAAAAAGATTGATATGAAGAAAGATACTCACCAACAACACATCCTATAATAAAATTTTTACTCAAAAATGGCTGGTGTACAACTTCTGCATTTGGAAATCTTCCAGATTAATAACATTTCCAGAGTTTGACATTATTTCCAAGCAAAGCTTTAAGTTATTTAGAACTATCACAATTTATACGTGGCACAATGATGTGACTACACAGGCTGTTCCATGTACCCTGGCTACTGCTCTAGCCTAGGCTACTATAGTGTCACCAACCAGTCATACAGACTGACAGATCAAACTGCCAATGCCTTACAAACAAACGTTTTTGTGAGGATGTATGTTTATGTGAAAAAAAACTGCGACAAATTAGGTGTGTACAAAGAAAAAGCCTCATTTTACAGATTTTTAAAAGTTACTCACTGCAATATTGTTGTGTTCTTTAGCGTAATGATGTAATTTAAAACACGAATCATTTCTGAAAAATAGCATCTTCAGAAACAATTCTGGGGTCAGTGCTGTGGCTCAACGGTCTGATCTGGCAGCTGCAAGCACTGGCATTCCACTGGTTTGTGTCCTGGCAACTATATTTTCCACCTAGCTTCCTGCTTATGACCTGGGAAGGCAGCAAAGGATAGCCCAGATCCTTGGGACCCTGAACCTGTATGCAAGCCCTGGAAGAAGCTCCTGGCTCCTGGCTTTAGATAAGCTCAGTTCCAGCTGTTGTGGCCATTTGTGTGGTGAGCCATTGGATGAAAGATATTTCTGCCTCTCCTTTCCTCTGGAAGTCTGCTTTTCCAATTTAAGATAAATATATAAATCTTCAAAAAAAAATCTGCTATTTGTAGGCCCTAGTGTATAGGACCCATATATTGTTTTGCTCTCCAAATGGCCACAACTGCTAAAAAGGAGCCGATTTGAAACCAGAAGCTTCTTCTGGGTCTTCCATGTAGGAATAGGAGTCCAAGGATTTGGGTCATCCTCTGCTGCTTTCCCAGGCCACAAGAAGAACTCCAATATGGGATACTGATACTTTCAGGTAGAGGATTAGCCAGTTGAGCCATTGTGCCAGCCCTGATAAAGGTTCAACAGAGGCTTAAATTTATAAAAGCAGCTTGCCATAGCCTAGTGGCTAAAGTCCTCACCTTGCATATGCACCAGAATCCCATATGGGCACTGGTTCATATCCTGGCTACTCTACTTCCCATCCAGCTCCATGCTTGTGGCCTGGGAAAGCCACTTGTGGAGTGAACCATAGGATGGAAGATCTTCCTCTTTGTCTCTCCTTCTGTCTGCAAATCTGACTTCCCAATAAAAATAAACCTTTTAAAAAAGAAATAAGCAGCTTGCCTTTGCCACACTAGGAAAACTCAGCGAATTTTGCAACTTCAGTATAAAATGACAAAATATACAGAGGCTAATTCCAGCAGGAATAAGGTGAAAAGTTACACAACATTTCTAGCCACCGAACCAGCATAATTTTAAAGTCAAATACTTTCACCATCATTGTTTGATACTTAAAAATGTTACAATCTCATTTAGAGATGAAGACACCTGCCCAAAGTCACACAGCTAGAAGTTAATGGGACCTAAACTAAATTCACGCCCCTCGTGGAGGGCCTTTGTGGCCTGGTGTTTTATGTCCCATGGGAACACTGGCGAAGCAAGTCAAGGGGGAAGCTAGGAAAAAGTGCCTTTGGCTAAAGTTCCTTTGACAGGGAAATAAGGATCATTTACAGATACAAAGGAGGACAAGAAGGAAAAAACAGATAAACTTACATTCAAGATAGCCGGAGGTGGGCAGAGGGAAGCTTGTGAAGTGCTTGGAAAAAAAAGAACATGAAGCAATGAAAGCTCTAAGTGGAGACCCTACAAATGGCAAGAAATATCAGATTCTTCAAGCTATAGCAGACAGGTTGCTAACATGTTTGGCTACTACACCAATATTTGCAAGACAGAAAAACAAAAACAAAACCAGCTCCAGGGGTCAAAGCAATGGCTCATCTGACTATGCTCAACCTGCATGAGCCAGCATCCTATACAGACAGAGGTTCATGTGTGGGATGCTTCATTTCCTATCCAGTCCCTGTTTGTGGTCTGGGAAGGCAGTAGAGGATGGTTCAAAGCCTTCCACCTGTGTGGAAGACCTGGAAGAAGTTCCTGGCTCCTGGCTTCAGATTGGCTCAACTCTAGCCGTTGAGGCCATTTAGGGAGTGAACCAGTGGATGGAAGATCTGTCTCTCTTCTCTCGGTAAAATCTGCCTTTCCGATAAAAACAATTAATTAAAATTAAAAAACAAACAGCACAAGAAACAGCTCCAGGAGCTTCTTGGGAAGCTGCTATCAGCGAGGCTGACCAGAGCGCGCCAATCATGAAAAACAGCAGGTGAGACTAAAAACCCTCTCTGCCAAGAAGCTCTAGGGCAAGTGTGAAAGTAGGGGTGCAGGGGGCACTAGGGGAAACATGCCCAGTCAGTGTACCCTAGTCACTGGGTCATGCCAGTGGTTAGCATTTGGTTCCTCCACATCTGAACCAGGAGCGGGACGAGCAAGACAGTTGAAGCCCCTTGCGCCTGCCGACCCCGGAGTGTAGTAAAACTTAACCTGCAGCTTCCAACTCTGTCATGAAAGCACGAGTGGGACCTAAGACCAGCCAGCAGAACTCCACAGGTTGAGGGGAAAAAAACAAGGCCCTTCCACTAACTCCGCGGATCAGATGCTACAAGTTCACGGTCCTCCACCGCTCGTCAAGGTTCTGCTTTGCACGCGGAGATTGAGAATGAGCCAAACGCACGAGCTCCGCGCACTTGGCCCTTCAACGCGGGGCTACAGTGACGGAAGTAGTCTCGGGGCGCGTCGGGCCCCGCAGCAGTGGCCGTCAGCCCTCAATCCCCAACACGCGCGGAGTGGACGCCTGTGGGCCCCAACTGCGAGAACGGCTGCTCCTCCTCACCGTCGGCCTCAAGGCCGGCGCCCCTAGCGGCCGGGAGGAGGCAGCGCAGCCCAGGAACCAGAAAAAGGGGGAGACTCCCGGCATGCAGTTCCGGGGTGGGGTGTGGGGGGGATACACCCTAGGCGAGGATGGGTGCTGGGGAGAGGGGACCTTCGTCTACCGGCCCCGCGAAGCTGTGTCTGTTTTCCTCTGTCACCAGCAGTATGGCATTCCTAGTGGGAGAGTCCTGTAAGAAACTGGCTGCCGAAGTCACTTTATCAATTTGCCCTTTTCGGGGCGGGGCTTGGAGCGCCCCGCTGGCATCGCCCCTTTAAGGCCGGAGGCCGCCGCTGTTCCGGGGGCGGGGCTCGTGTCCTAGACGACGGGGGCTGGCGCGGGGCTGCGTCCGCGGGAGGCCGACGTCTGCGTCTGCGCAGGGCGCGGCCTCGCTCCTGACTGGGTGCCTCCCCGGGCCGCCTCCCCCGCGCGCCGCCCCTCGCTCCGCTCCCGGGTCCGCCGTGGAAACGCTGCCCTCTCTCTCTCTTCTTGACCCCTTCTCCCTTCTTCCCTTCCCTCCTCTTCTCCTGCCGCCGTCGCTTCGGTCTGCCAAGTGCTCCTTGAGGAGCTGCCGGCGCGGCGATGGGGTCTCGGGCCTCCACGTTACTGCGGGACGAAGAGCTCGAGGAGATCAAGAAGGAGACGGGATGTGAGTCCGGGCTTGGGGAGTGGGCACCCGGCTGACCGCCTCCGGCTCGCCTCAGCTGGCCCGGAGCTGGGGTTTCCCGGCAAGTTCAGGGGGAAAGGGAACGGTGGTTCCTGGGCAGTCTGCAGCTCTGGAGCTTCGGGGTCGGAGAGGCCGGAGGAGCTGTTTGCCCCGTTGGAGCTTCCCGGAGCGGTGTGGCTTCTTTGGGGGGCCGCCGTTCTCACGACGTGGACGCTCAATCACCTTTATATTTATCACAGACGCTCTCTTTTATTATTATCATTTTTTAAAGTTCTACCCTCTTTCCCCCCTTGAAAGCCCTTGGACTTCCTTTCTCTTCCCTGGCACTGGTTTTACCTCGGGGAGGGACACCGTGGAGCATAAGGCAGAACCGGAGAAGTCAACCCCGCAGTGCAGCCGGGTCCTGTCAGAGAACGGAATCCGTTCCCGTGACGTTTCTGGGCCAGGACCTGAAACCATGGGCAGCCGTGGGAAATGACAGACAACTGCTCGCCATAAACTGGAAAAGTAAACCCAGAAAACTGAAAACGCTTGGGAAGCCGTGCCCTGGGGTGGAACTGGAGGGGTGAAGGTGTGGAGGTTTTTGAAAATTTTGAGCTGGTGCAGACACACGTGTGCTGCGACCCCTCGTTTTTGTCTTGGTGGATAGTGGCTGTTCTGCTTTCGTGTATATGCTGGTATTGATTTTTACTCCATCAGTGGGTATTAGGTGGTTTCAATCGCAATTGGATACACTCCAAAAATCTCAAGTGAGTTTGTTCTGGGAACTGATTTTTTTTTTTTTTTGAAGTGGTCCGTTCTCTTCCTCATTACCCTGAGCAGAGGAACAGCAGGGCTTTGGGAGTTTAGGAACTCTGTAAAACCCGGTTGTAATTTGAATAGCCCTTGAGAAGTTTGTGCAAAGTTAGAATTGTATTGTTGCCTGCAGTGTTTTCTCAGTGTGTCTTTATGACTCGCATTGAATTGTGAGTTATATAAGCAGCTGAGCACCTGGGGTAGGCTAAATGTCCTGTGTTCTCTGACAAGTTTAGCTTTCTGGGATCTTCAAATGGGGACGTGTGTGTTGTCAACCTGCCTGTTTCATCTGATTTGATTTGTGTCTTTTAACACTCATTCTCCCCTACATAATGCCAATAAACTTCTCCATAGAGACTTATTAAAAATATTTACTTATTTTTATTGCAAGGGTAGATCTTCTCTCTGCTGGTTTTATCCCCAAATGGTTGCAACAAAAAGAGTTGAGCTGATCCGAAGCCAACTTCTAGATTTCCCACGTGGGTGCAGGTCCCAAGGCTTTGGGCCGTCCTCCCCTGCTTTCCTAGGCCACAAGCAGGGAGCTGGATGGGAAGTGGAGAGGCTGTGACATGAACCAGAGCACATATGGGATGCTGGCAATTGAGGGTCGAGGATTCGCCAGTTGAGCCATTGCACCAGCCCCTCATAAAGACGTGTAGTGATGGCAGTCTTACTGCCTACCCAGGCGGTCCTGGTCATGGCTTTGAATGAATGACAGAGGTGGTTAGCTGTCTACAATTTGAAGTACTGGTTTGACCACTTGACCTTATGGTCTTTTTATGACTTGCTCTGACTCCAGATGTTGACATATGGACAGTTTGGAACCAGCAAGCATTTTATTACGTTTTGTGGCCATGATCTCCGACCACAAATATAATAACTGCTTAGGTCTTGGGTAACACCCACATTAAAGCTTCCATACTGAAAATAGAGGATCACATAACCAGGGGTTGTAAACCGTAGGAAAAGCTATTTTTGTCTCAGAATGAAGGGAACAACAGTGCCATTCTGGTTTATTTACATTTGAGAAAATGAAAAGGGCTTGAATTCTAAGACTGGGTTCTGGGTCTGTCCATTTGACCTGTGGGCCAACAGAACTGAGACTCGTGGAAGAACTTTCTTTTCGGGTGCCAAAGAGTAAAGCAAGCACAAGGAAGGTTCTTAACCACAATGCTTAGCGAAGCTAGTGCTGACTGCGTTTTCCCAGCATCTGTGTTTAGAACCATGCTAGTCGCTCAGAGCAGATGGTGACAGAAGACACCCACAAACTGAATGGGAGATAAGCCCAATAGAGTTATGATTAACACTGAGACATAAGGAAGTTGAGTTTGTATGGCACCCACCTTCTCCAGGAAGAGACTGTCATTGTAGAGAACGGAATATGGACTTGGAATCGTCCATAAATGGATTAGAGTTGGATAAATCAACCTGGGACGTTTCGGGTGGCTTCCAGGAGTGATTATCCCTGTTCTGCTACAAAATCCTTCCTACCGCTGTGGCTGGGACCGTCAGTCTACCTAGTCAATACTCCTCAGCAGGGTCAGTTTTCTTTATTTAATATTAAAATGTTTATTTTGTTTCATTTTAATTGTAAAATCAGATATACAGACAGGAAGATCTTCCATCCACTCGTTCGCTCCCCAAGTGGTCACAATGGCTGAGCTGAGCCAATCCAAAGCCAGCCCAGGAGCCAGGAGCTTCTTCTGGGTCTCCCACGCAGGTACAAGTTCCCAAGGCTTTGGGCCATCCTACATCTGTTTCCCAGGCCACAAGCTGGATGGGAAGTGGGGCTGTCAGGATTAGAACTGGCTCATGCAAGGTGAGGATTTTAACCACTAGGCTACTGTGCCTAAAAATTTGTACATGTTGGTTTGAGAGGCAAGAGAACCAGGCATTCATATATTCTTGTACACAGCCTAAATTCCCACAGTGCCTGGAGGGCCTAAACCAGGAGCCAGGAGCTTAGTGCAGGCATCCCAAGGGGATGGCAGGAACCCAGCTACTTGAGCCTTCACCGCTGCCTCCCCGATGGGCATTACAGGAAGCTGGAGTCAGGAGCCTGGGCGAACCCAGGGACTTGGCATCCTACTCCGTGGCGTAACTGCTACATCAGATGGTCACTGCCAGGAGTTTGGTTTGTTTTTAAAGCAGTAAAGTTAAGTCTGATGCCAAAGAATAAAACAGCAGATGTCTGGAGGTTGGGTTATGGAGGTAAAATCTGACCTGTTACTTATTGCTTCTTGTTTGAGGAAGAACAATTTTGGGCACTCTAATCACTCTAAGTATAGGGTATTTTACTGTTTGTAAGAAAATGTATCATATGGAACTGGTGCGATAGGGTAGTGGTTCAAGTCCTCGCCTTGTATGTGCTGGGATCACATATGGGCGCCAGTTCTAATCCCGACAGCCCGCCGCTTCCCATCCAGCTTTCTGCTTGTGACCTGGGAAAGCAGTCAACGAACGCCCAACACCTTGGGACCCTGCACCCACATGGGAGACCCAGAAGTTTCTGGCTCCTGGCTCCAGATTGGCTCAGCTCCAATTGTTGCGGCCACTTGGGGAGTAAATCATTGGACGGAAGATCTTCCTTTCTGTCTCTCCTCTCTGTATATCTGCCTTTCCAATAAAAATAAATAAATCTGGGTCCGGCAGCATGGCCTAGCGGCTAAAGTCCTCGCCTTGAACGCACCAGGATCCCATATGGGTGCCGGTTCTAATCCTGGCAGCTCCACTTCCCATCCAGCTCCCTGCTTGTGGCCTGGGAAAGCAGTGGAGGACGGCCCAAAGCCTTGGGACCCTGCACCCATTTGGGAGACCTGGAGGAGGTTCCTGGCTCCTGACTTGGCTCCAGATCGGCACAGAACTGGCCGTTATGCTCACTTGGGGGTGAACCATTGGACGAAAGATCTTCCTCTTTGTCTCTTCTCCTCTCTGTATATCTGACTTTGTAATAAAAATAAATAAATCTTGAAAAAAAATCTTAAAAAGAAAAGAGAATGTATCATAATTGAGAAAAACTGACTATATTCAATGTGAAATCTGCTTTGGAATTGACCATTACATATAAGCATTTTAAAAAATCATCTTAATTGATTAGACCTCATATTTGAAATTTAATCACTAAATATTTGGTAAAATAATTCCAAGTAAGAATTACTGGTGAGTGTCAGTTTCATGGTCTGTAAAGTGGATAGTTGCTCCTGCTTTGTAGGATTCTTACCATGGTTAAGCGAGATAAATTATTCAAGCGAGTTAGGATAGTGTTTGGTATCATACGTGTCATTAAATGTTGCTGTTGATATTTTCAACCATAGATAACAGCCATCTTTTGGGGAAATATCATCTCTATGTACCAGAGAAATAAATTATACAGAACTATGTAATTGGGAGAATGACAGCATTTTAAACTTTTTTTTTTAAGGAAGAAACAATATTTCCTGGCATAGAACATTTGCTGTTTTTTTTTTTTTTTTGTCCTAGTATCTCTTTCACATTTTGCTTTTTTAAAAATTAAGGCTCGATGGACTCTGCCATTGTCCATGCCCACAATGATGGACATATTATTGTGTATGAAGAACTATGCTTCAGTAATGATATAGAGGAACTAGGTGTTGGGGGGAGAAATTGGGGCGGGGATAAGGGAAGCCTCAGGAGCCTCTTTAACTGTATCATAAAATGATGATGATGATAATAATAATAATAATAATAATAATAATAAAACCTTCCAAAAAATTAAGTCTCAATTGAATGAAAGATGTAGTTGAAGGAAGGTCACAGATGTCTCAGAAGTTCCCGTAATCTCCACCGTGAACTGTGCAGTTCCCCTAACTACGGTGGAAACATGACTGTGCATTACTTAAGACCTTATCTGTGAGAAGCAGTCCACGTAAGGAACGCAGTGATTTATTTTTAGTCTACCTGCTGGAGTGATCATGTGGAGAGTGTTGAACAGGTTTAGGAAGTAAGCTGTACAGCCGGTTGAGGTTTTGTTTGTTTGAAAGGGTGTAGTGATGATAGCATGGGTGTGGGTTTTTCTCTAGTTCTAACAAAGGGCACAAAGGCAGTAGCTTGAGAACAACATCCCGAGATAGTGTGAAGTGACGTTCAACTTTGAATTGCTCCTGCCTCCCACTGGGGCCCTCACCCTGGCAGGCTATGCCACCCTGTCTGCAGGTTCTGGGACTACC